AAAAAAAAAAAAGAAAGAAATGAGAAGATCCCCATTTTGCAGCCCTAAATGACTCAAGCAAGGAGCATTCATATGCATATGCTAACACTCTTGGATGAAGGAGTATTAGGGGCCCACAGCTCACTTGTTTTAGAAGAAAATGCTTTATGACCCGGTAATTTCTTTAACAAGAATGGCATCACCTTCTCTATCAAATACCACCCTGTAGGTTACTTATTACTTACAAAGGGACATGCCGGTCCTTACAGTAAGAGACTGATGACTTGGCACTTTAATCACATCATCAAATTTAGCATCACCTAGAGAGGGTCCCGCAGCACAGCTCACCTGCTGCAATCAGAGGTACACAGCGTCACCATTTGCTGAAAATGTTTAGCCTCCATCTTATAAAGCCTCCAGACCTAACTTCAGTTTGCAAGAAATAAAGAAGTTAGAGCCACCAGTTAAGCAACAATCAGACAAACCCAGAATATGGAACAATCTACAAGAAACTGGCCTGGCCTGACCAAAAAGTCCACAAAATATGAAGAAGAAAAAAAAAAAAAAAAAAAAACAACCCAAACTGTGGGACCATTCTATTCTAGAATAAAGAAATATAACAACCAAACGTAACGTGTGAACCTTGACTGGCTCCCACATTGGGAAAACTAACAGCTGTAAATGACATGGTGGGGGGTGTTGACCATGGATTGGGTATTAGATGACATTGTGGAATGATTGTTAATTTCCTAGAGGTGACAGTTGTCTCAGGAGTTCTGTAAGAGACTGTCCTTACTCCTAGGAAATGCTGCTTGCAAACACAGCTAGGAGTCAAGTATCACAGTGTCCATGATTTTGTGTCAGAATTTTGGCTACAGTGTATGTACGTGTGAAGAGAGAGACACACAGAGACAGACAAAGACCCAGAAGGAACGCACGTGTATCAGAAAGCCCACAGCTGTTGACTCTAGGTGGATGATTTAAGGGTGATCATTATCCTACTGTTTCAACTTTTGTGTCTGCTTGAAAATTGTTGTAACAAAACATTGGGGGAGGTTATTTGTAGCTAATGTTTTATGTTCCCTGTTCTCTAGAACCCCATTTCTGCCTCCTGAAAGCCTTTGTTTTTCTGTTTTGCAGTTCGGGACCGAGTCAGGTCGAAGATGGAGAGAGATATTTTGGCAGAAGTGAATCACCCTTTCATTGTAAAGCTTCATTATGGTAAATAGAGTAAAACATAACCTACTTTTGAGAGGACCTAAGCAACCTTCCCCAAATCCAAGGAAAATGAAACAGCACTGGGTCAGGAGAAGAGCCCTCCCTGTCATGGGGCCTGGCCTGTAGGGTGTGGGGCTGTCTTCCCTCTGCAGCCCCATGATCTCTTCTGCATTTTTCCGCTCTGAGGGAGCAAGATGCCCTGTTTTAACCAGAGACTAAAGTGAGGGGGCTATACTTTGCTACTAATTAAATTATCATCATTGATAAAGTAGTAAAAAAATAAATAAAAGGTCTCTTGGCCTAGATTGGGGTGAATCTGTGACATATTTTTGTGTTGTTTTAGAAGAAAATGCTTTATGACCCAGTAATTGCTTTAACCAGAATGGCATCACCTTCTCTATTTTAAGTGAATACTATGTTTCAAGCATTTTAAAGAGAGTAGCTCATTGAACCCTCAAAACTTTCTTTCAAGGGAGGTTACTGTTTCTGTTTCCTGGAAGAGAAATGAGACACAATCAAATAAGAGTGATTCTGGTGGCCACATGCGTGTGGCACCCACAAACTCCTCTGAGTTCGCTTTCTATCGTTTCCCTCCTCGGGGAAGCAGTAAGTGAAATCTTCAAACTAAAAATAATGAACGAGAGGCGCCAGACGGCATTAACTCTTACTGCCCTACCGAATAATTAATATGAGGGAAATATAGAAGAAGGAAAAAAAACCCTACCTTGTTGGTTTCAAAGGCACCGGGTGTGGGGGTTGTCCGAGACATTTCCACGAGTCAGGACGAAGCAAAGGTGTAAGCCGTGCTCAGAGGTAGGAGGGCAGAGGCTTCTCGCTCTTTGCTGGTTACCTTCTGATATTTCTCAGAAAACACTTCAGTCTCGTGTAGAAAGTGTGTGGCTTATGCTTTCAAAGCCAGTAGGAGTGACGGTGGCTGTGAATTTGCTGGGAGGCTCGGTGGCCACAGGCAGGTGCCCGAGCTCTGTCCTGCTGCCGCCCAGGGAGGCCGACCCGACCTCCCCCTCTCACAGCTGCCTGTGACCCCACTGTCAGATCCAGTCCCATGTGTCACTTTAGCTGGTTTCCAGGGGGTTCTCTGAAGAAGAAACAGCATCTTTCAAGGATTTCTAAATGTGTCTTCCGTGTCAGCTCTGTGGCTGATCAAAAGATACTTGTTCTCCTTCTGCCTGTCAAGCCCTAGGAGAGAGGATTGAATCCATACTTCACTTTATATGAGTCTGACAAGGATTTTTTAGTGAGAGGCTGTTTCTGAAACCCTAACACATATCATGTTTCTAGTATTTTCTTTTAGAAAATAAAAAGTTTTCAAGTAAGCAGGGATATCAGGACCCCCTGCAGCCACACTTCCTAGGTATGTAAGATAGATGCCAAGTGATAGATCATCAATCACATCGAACTGAGAATCAAGAGTCAATGGTGATTGGTTTCTCTTAACCCTCACATGCACACTCAGCCCCCTTTGGAGCAAGGCACGCCTGGCTAAATGGTGGGCAAGACCGGAAGTATAAACAGCAGGCCCATAATCATAGTTCATGGTGATCAAACCTAGAACATGGGCCCCATTTGCCATGATGTACGATGCATGGGGCCGACCGGTCACCAACACCTCCATGAAAGAAGGGGTCAAATGATGGGTTGCCTTGACCTGGAGCTGTACAGAATGCAGCTCCATGAAGGAAAGGAGGCTTGCCCACACCGGGTCAGAGCCATCATCCGGCTCCTCACCAAACACCTCACCGTGGTGCCCAGAGCCCAGCATGGGTAGTGGTGATAGTGAGAGCAGGTTGGAACCTGCAGATATGGGCCTCCATGTATTTTCCATCCCCTCTGTGATTAAAAAAGGAAGGGGGGACCAAAGGAGAGGAGAAGAAAGAAGAGAGGTGACCCTCTGGACTCTTAATAAAAGTGGGGGACACAGACAGACTCATTCCTGCCGACCCTTTCCTGGAGTTCCGCCCCGACAAGGCCCTCCCCCTTCACCCCCGCAGCCCGGCTCCAGCCCTGTTTCTGGAATGTCCGGCACTGCAGCCCGCTTGTGTTCTCAGACCCCTGGGATGCCAACCCTCTCTCCTTCCACAGCCTTTCAGACGGAAGGAAAGCTCTACCTGATCCTGGACTTCCTGAGGGGAGGGGACCTCTTCAGCCGGCTCTCCAAAGAGGTACGCGGGGCAAAGAAGGATGGTGAGCTCTCGAGGGAGGTCTGTGTGTGGTGTGCGTGCTGCAATTGTGTACAAATGCTGTGAATGCTGTCAGTATGTGTGAGAGTGTATGTGAGTGTGTATGCTGAGTGCGTGTGTGTGGTATGTGTGCTGTGTGTGTGTGTGTGCATGTGGTGTGCATGCTCTCGGTATGTGTGAGAATGTGTGTGTCTGTCAGCGTGTGTGCTGTGAGTGTGTGCGCTGTGGGGTTTACATGGTGTGTGTGGGATGTGTGTGCATGTGAACATGTGTGTGTATGTGCATGAATGTGTGCATCTGTTTTAAAGAAGTCACACAAGTGATACGGAGAAGTGATCTGTTGTCCTTGAAAGATCATAAGCAAACAGGTGCTTCCGGGCGCTGGGAAGTGCGCCGACCCCCGTGGGGAGCAGACGAAAGCAGAGGTGGGTTTAGAGTAGCAGCTGGGGGACTGTTTCCCAGTATCTCACCTTCCGTCGTGGGAAGGTGCTGGGAGCACGCTGCCCACACGTCCCGGGAGGTGCTTCCGGAGCATCTAGTCGGGTCTTCCCGCGGGAGGGGAGGTCTCCGTGACCGCTTCAAGCCCGGGCCTTGTCCTTGACCCCACAGTCCTGATATGGGAATTGTCCAGACTGTCACCCAGGGCAACACGACAGCTCTCTGGGCCCTAATTGATGTGAAGAGCTCTCTGCTTCATGGCGTGGAGGAAACCAGCCTTCTTCCTGCCTGAGGCAACAACAGCACTGGGCTTAAATCCCAGCGGCTCTGAGCTGTTCCTTCACACGGAGCCAACGGTGATGAAGGCAGCCACGCATCGGACGGCACCTCGCCCAGGTCTCCAGTCTCTCCGGTGCCGCCTTACCCAGCACAGCCGGGGTGATTTAACTGGGACGGTGTGTTCAGACTGCCCTCTCCCCTTCTCTCTCCCTCCCACTTTTTGACCAAGAGACCCTTCAATCCTGCATGGACCTCCAAAGTGAGCAACAGATCAAAGTGGAGCAGGAGGGGGGTCCCAGGGCCTGCGGGCTGCTCTCTCCCTCCAGTTTTTAAGGGTCCCTCAGACAACGCACAGCTGATGCAGTGAGCTCCTTTTATACAGGCTGAAAGCCCAGGGCTGGAGGACTCAGATCCCACTTCCACAACCAGCCGTTCTGGAGCAGGAGTCTGTCTGGTCCCTGCTTGTGCTCACATGTTCCCAGAGGGCAGAACTACCAGCATCTGCCCGTCTGCCGCCTGCTAAGTACTGATTTCCCTTACCCTCTCAGACCACGTGGGGTTTGGTTTCGTCCAGTGTCTGGCACCACACACCCTGTCACAGGTTTCTTGACCAAATGGCAGCAGTAGTTAGCAAAAAGCCCTGCGTGACCTCCCGAGGGGAACGCGGGTCCCCCCGACACCTTTATTTCAGAATAAAGGTAAAGTCGTCAAGTGTGGGCACAGCAGATTCTCAGAAACGACGTGGGACAGTATCCTCCTCCCGTCCTCTCTTTCAACAAGGCCGTTGGACAGCATTGTGCCATGTGTGGGTCACTGTCCTGACTTCCTTCAAGGACGCACCTCGTGGGGTGTTTCACTTCTGCACACTCTGTCACTTGGACTTGGGGACTATCCTGAGATTTGCCCTAAGAACTGGACAAGTGGATAAATACGGTTGCACTCTGAGCACGGACCTACAGACAAGCCGTGGTGGTTACCCAGAGAGAAAAAGTCAGATTCGAGAGAATATGACAGCTAGCAGAATCGGACTAAAAGTTAGTCCACAGACTATGTTGACCAATTTAGAAAAGAAACGCCCAGCCAGGAAGGGCGCCTGTTGAGCACGGGAGAGAGAACAGGAGGTTCCAAAGGCCAGAAGGGCCATGAGGGTTGACACCTCCCAGAGGTGACCACCCAGGACCACAGGGCGTGAGTCCCGGCGCCGATGGGAAGTGCCCCTTCTGTGGAATGGATGGGCCCCACCTGCGCCAGCCTGACGTGGTCACCATCCTCTTCCCCAACGGCCCTTATTCTAACTCTGTGCGTCCCAGGCAGCCCGCTGAGTCTGTATTGATTCTTCCTGTGTCTGTGTTCAGAGAGAGAATTCAGTCATCATACACAGTTCCAGTGTCGGTGACATTGATTTCTCATGGTGAATGTAAAAACTGGTTTGTGCTAACAAATCTGCCTTTCTAGAGGGTGACTTTAAATATTACACGCTGATTCTAACAAGCGCGGGAGGAATGGAAACGTCCCCCAGACGATGGCTTTGAAGGGTGCTGGGCGCCTGGCCTGGTGAATGCGTCAGCTCGCCTGAACCAGGATGCCCGACTCGTGGACCCTGACGCCCACGGGTCCCTGGCCCGGGTGCCTCACGGACTCTACGCCCCGTACATGTTGTTTTTGCTAGAACTCGGCCCACTTTGGGTAGATGGAAGGGAGTGGGGACGAGATCCCGGGTACGTTCTCAGTAGCCCTTCCTCAGCCCTTCGGGATGTGGCTTCACATCCGAACCGCTCATATTAAAATATCAAGCCCAGAGCTCCGTGATTCCTGGAGGCGAGGAGGAGGAGGAGACTAAGTGCTCCACTTACGGGCTAATTAACCATCTTTGTAGGGAACTGCTCTTCTGCCTTCACTGATCTCCAGACTAGAAAGAGAGCTCATTTTTCCGTTGTGAGAGCCAGCAGTGTTACGGGGGAGGGGAGCCTGTGATCTTCCGCAGAGCAGGACTGAGCCCAGTGCACTTTGCGGGGCTGACTCATGATGTTCTCTGGCAGAGCTCTTCAAAACAAACCAGCCACAGAATAAGCCAAACAGTCTTGTTCTCGCTTCCTAGGTGATGTTCACCGAGGAGGATGTCAAGTTCTACCTGGCTGAGCTGGCCCTGGCTTTAGACCACCTCCACGGCCTGGGGATCATCTACAGAGACCTAAAGCCTGAGAAGTAAGTGAGGACGTGGTAGGACGCCGCCTCCACACCGCCCTTCTTGCTGCCCCTGCTGGGAGCCGCTGCTCTCTCTCTGATTCCCACGTGGGTGCACAGCAGGGAGTAGGCTGGGGCCGTCCTGCTGCGGGCACCCCCCACGCGGGTTCCACCCGCCCGCCCCTGACACCGTGCCCAAACGGGCGTGGCTGATGCTGATTGGTACAGGCCGTTCCCGGCAGCGCCTCTCACCTGATCCTCGTAACAACGCTCTGGCGGAGGCCGGGCCGGGGCCCGTGTCCCTGCTGTTCGGGTAAGGCTGGGCAGGGAGGGGGTTCCTGCCGCACAGCTGCCCCCTCTCCCGCCGTGGGGAACTCCTCGGACGTGCACCCCGACGCTAGCTTGCCTCTCCGCTCCGGTCCCTTTGGGGCCGTCCTCTGCAGAGCCAGGAAGCCTCCACGACTCCAGCAGGCCATTTCCAGGTGGCGAGTCAGACGAGCCTTCCGGAGAGTTTTTCTGAAAGACAGTAGCGCCAGATTCCCCAGATCTTCCAATGAGCTTTTGCATGCCTTTGGTAAAGATCATCTGTAATCTTTTAGGATATTTTAGCTATCCTCAATTGAAAGATTAAAGTCCCTCCAAAATCACAGTTTCCGTTTCAGGTTTTTTTCGTATATTCTGTGTAGAGCGGACACACAACAGTGGCCCACATGAAGAAGGAGGGATCTAGTGGGCGCTATTTTAGGTTCAGGAGGACCGCCTGGCCGTAGTCCCGAAGGCAAAGTCACGATTTTCTCACTCAGTATATTCACTGCCCCATGAGACCATTCGATTCCACGCACCGAGGCCGAGGCCCACAACTGCCTGTGGTAGAGCCTGGTGGGACCCCCCAGCTTTGGGCACAAGGCAGCCCGTAGCCGTGGGCTGACTCATCGCCGAGGGCTCAGGAAGCGGGCTTCAGCCCGTGCTCCTCGGCCTTTCCTCTTTCATGGACACCGAGCTGAGGAAAAGACAGCTCCGCTCTGCTGCCATTTTTATTGGATGTGGTGGTGTTTTATGGGAAACGTCTGGGCAACGTTGTGCCCATACAGGAAGGAAAGTCCATTTGTCCCACACCAGCGGGACGCGCACATCTTGCATGGCTTTGACAAAACGACCCACAGTAGCTCTCTCCGGTCGAACATCACAGGCTGCACACCTCAATAAATGTCTAGATGATCGCAAAAGGCCCTATTGTCAGCGTCCCCTCGGAGAGAACAGTATCCTTTTTTTTTTTTTAAAGATTTTATTTATTTATTCATGAGAGACAGAGAGACAGAGGCAGAGGGAGAAGCAGGCTCCCTGCGGAGCGGGGAGCCCGATGCGGGACTCGATCCCAGGACCCTGGGATCATGACCTGAGCCGAAGGCAGACGCTTAACCGACTGAGCCACCCAGGTGCCCCGAGAACAGTATCCTATTAAGTACAGCTGCCTCCCTCAGCGAGCGCTCGCGTGAGGCAGATCCCAAAGCCGTGAGCCCCGGACACCTGTTGGGGTGTGCTCCCTGCTTCTCTCTCTCTTTAAAGGTCAAAGGGATCTTTACAGTTAAAAATAGTAATATTTAATCACAGAGTTGAAGAAAGAAGATTCTGTTGTTAAATAGAGTGAGTAGGGGATTCATCTGGAAAGCTGCTCATTTCCAGGCAGATTAAGTCTAACTGAAAAGCAAAGATGAAAACGTTCACCTCTTTCATGATAAACTGTCATCTTAATGATGCGCTGTAACATTTTCCTTCACATTTCAATAAAATAGTAGGTCTTTTTTTTTTAATCCCTTGGCAGATGTTTTTTTTTTTTTATTTATTCATTTGAGACACAGAGATACAGAGAGAGAGAGAGCATGAGCAGTGGGAGAGGCAGAGGGAGAGGGAGAAGCAGACTCCCGGCTGAGCCAGGAGCCCGATGTGGGGCTCGATCCCAGGACCCTGGGATCATGACCTGAGCCGAAGGCAGACGCTTAACCATCTGAGCCACCCAGGCGCCCCCATGGCAGATGTTTTTAACTGTGGCAAGAAAAACAGTAGAAAGTGAGCGTCTCAGCCTTTGTAAGTGTGCAGCACACACTCACATCTCCGTGCAGCCACCAGCGCTGTCCATCTTCCAGACTCTCTGCACCTCGCAAAACTGAAACTCTGTCCCCGTGAGACGCCCACTCCCCGCTGCACCACCGCTGCCCAGTCCTGGCACCCTCCACCGTCTGCTTCTATGGCTCTGACTGCTCTAGGTCCCCCTTATAAGTGGAACGCACGTCTCCTCTGTGGTGCCCGGTTCACTGCACTCGGCTCCTTGTCCGCAGGTCCATCCACGTGCTCGCGTGGGTCAGGATGCCACTACTCTGCCTGCCTGTTAAGGCAGCCGGCCTTGCTTTGGTTCCTCACCATTCTCTTCCTGGTCTCTTTAAGGCTGCCTGGTACCCCCCAGGAGCTGACGGGACAGGATTTAATTACAGCAAAAAAAAGAAAGAAAGAAAGAAATGGAAGACTCGGAGCCCTGGGGAGCCCCGAGGGCTGACAGCCTGGAAGAAGGGCTTCCTTGAGTGCTGGCCTGCGTCCGCCCTTGCGGCTCACCCTCTGCCCTACAGTGAGGAGCACCCTCCCCCGGCAGAGCTCGGAAGAGCAAGGCGGACGCTCCCTCTAGGCCAGTGCTCCAGGTGTCAGGCTCTGGTGGGACAAAGACACCCGGTGGGATAGCACCTGTGACAAGGGGCAGCCTGCCGAGCCCCAAGCCTCCTTGATGCTGAGGCCCCAGGCATCCCGAGAGGAAGGGTGGTGCTCATAGAGGGGTGATGGGGAGAAATAGTGAGCCTCTGGCCGTTGAGAGCCTGCCTGGGTAGGGAAAAATTCAAGAGGCTCCAGATCTCCACAGGCCAAGACAATCCTGGACCCTCTCAATCATGTTCTTCATGCGGGACGGTCTGAAGGGTTCCTGAACCTCACTGTGGGCTAAAGAAAGTCTTGAACCTGCAGGTCCCAGCTTTTGCCTGGTTAACCCCAAACACTGTGGATCTGAATCCACTGGTGACCCAGCAGAAGCTGCTGACTGGGGAAGCAGTAAATCCCGAAGCCCACATCTACACGTGGCAGGCGACCCCCGCGTGGGGACTGCTGCCCAGGCCGCCCTGCTGTGCCCCCCAAGGTCTGCACACCCCCCAGCTGAGCAGGCCTCCGGTAAAGCATCTGTGTTCTCCCCTCTCTTTCAGCATCCTGCTGGACGAAGAGGGACACATCAAGATCACAGGTTTGTAGAGGACGGCAGTCTCCCGGTGACTTCACCTCAGCCCTGGTAAATGTGGGGAGCAGCTCAGAGCCAAAGCCCTCCTAGCACCAGCATTTGCTGGTGGTGTCTCTGATTTGGCTGAAGCTTTCATAGAGCTCACTTATGTTACGTTGGTGTGCGTCCTCACAGCCTCTAGAAATGCTCAAACTTTCCAGGTCCCCTTCCTTCCCTGTCTCCTGTCCAAAGAACCTTCCAGCACCTTCCCTGCAGACTCTCATCCCTGGCTGTCTGTTCAAGAATGATGATGCACAGTACTGATGTGGGGCAAATATCGGTGCTCTCCCGGGAGCACGTCCCCACACTCTGGTGCCCTCCTGCCTTCAGGGACCACGTGTGAATGCACATGGGAGCCTGCCTTCCTGCTGAAACCTCACGCCCGTCCCGTTGCCACCCAGTTGGAGCGACCTGAAAACACACACCCCAGTTCCATGGCACGCATTGTATTAATTTCCCCTTGCTGGTATCACGGTCACCACAGACTGAGTGGCTTCCAGTAGCACATCTGCTCATCTTATCGTTCGGGGGGCTCCAGAGAGCCTGTTCTGCTGCCTTCTCCAGCTTCTAGGAGCTGCTGACATCCCTCAGCTTGTGGCCCCATCCTCTGTCTTCACGGCCAGCAGCACGGCCTTCCCTGATCTCTGTGACTCTGCCCCCAAATCCACATAAGGGCTCTTGTGTCACCTGGCCCACCTGGAAAATCCAGGACAACCACCCCATCTCATGATCCTTGGCTCATCACTCCTGCAGGACCCCCTTGACCTGTGAGGTGACCTCCTCACAGGTTCTGGGGCTCTGGATGATGGCATCTCTGGGGGCCATTCCCCCACCAGCTGTCCTGCTGACCTGGTTCTGCCTCATGTCCATACGCGCCCATTCCTGCACATCCACCAGTTTGCTCTTCCTGAACTAACACTCTCCTCTCCTCCCCTAGAAGCTTGTCCCTGCTTGGGGTGCCTGGTCGACCCCTGTTCTTACCTCAAAGCTTCTCTCAGCACCCCTTCTTCCCTACTCTGTGGCCCCCATGTGGTCACGCTGCCCCTCACTTGCTGGCCTGCATGCCACCATGCCCTGTCTTCTCAAGGGTGGGTTTACCCTGTCTTCGTGGATCCCCAAGACTTGGCGGAGTGCATAGTAACTGGCAATAAATATTGGTTAAATATTTTTACAGGCTTGTTAATGTTCAAAGTTCGATTTTTAAAAGTTCTCATGAACTTATATACCAGACCCTGATTACCCCTTTCGGCGAACCTTCAGCCCACCCATTCCTGACCTGTAATGTCATGCCATCAGGGTCACGTGGCATGTGGTGGAGATTTACAATTCTGTTAATACTTCAGACGTGTTCTCTGCCAAATGAGGAACTGAACGTACCCTATAAAAGTCACACTTGTGCCTTGTGCCTGGCAGCTGGAATGCATATGGAGCTACCGTGTCCAATTTATCTATAATATGACAGAGTTTGGGCTTTCTCTGATTTAATAATCATAGATTGTATTATTATTATTATTACTATTATTAATCATGACCCCAAGTTCATAATATGTGATAATTTGCCATTTGGGCCAGGCACAGATTACAAACAGCCCCCTCCCAGACTCTGATGTGTAAAGCAAGCCACTTTGCTGCGAGTGAGCAAACCCACCCGTGGGCGTTTGATGTTCTCACTCAGCACGTGGCCCTGGATGGAACTGATGGATATTATCCTTCTTCTCAAACATGCTGAAACTGAAGGGGTGCCCTCATCTTAGAAGCAATGTGTTCCCTGTGCCCTTCAGTCACTAAGTGCATGAACACACAAGCTTTGGAAGAAGGTAGAACGGACTGAGGATTTCTTGGAGGAGGGAGAGGGGAAGCGCTCACGGCAAATGCTCCACAGTCCTTATCAGACTCGCCTGTCTTCCCTTTGTGCCTCACCTCCAGGGACCTCCTTCCCCAGTAGCCTTCTGCCTGGACCTCTCTTCCAGCCCTTTCCTTCAGGGCTACCCCTCCCCTGCCATCTCATCCCAGCCCCAGGACCTGGAGCATCAGCATGCCCGGGCCACCTGCTGTGCCTCGTAAACAGCAGGGCTCCTGGGACTTCTCCTGTCTCGGTGAAATACAGCTTCTCGATACTGTTACCAGGCCCCCCAGGCTTTGTAGATTCCTGAAAGACCTTGAGCTGGGGAACGTACCACGCGGGGGCTTGAGGACACTTGCTTCCAAGGGGGGGGTGCCGTGGCCGGGACAGAGCGGGTTGAAGTCCCATAAATGACGCGGAAGCTCGCGGGTTGGGGGTCAGCATGGAAACAGTCCTGGTGCCTCTCCGACTGAGGCAGTGCCGTGTGCTCTTTCACTTTCAGATTTTGGGCTGAGTAAAGAGGCCATCGACCATGACAAGAGAGCTTACTCATTCTGCGGGACGATAGAGTACATGGCGCCCGAGGTGGTGAACCGGCGGGGACACACGCAGAGCGCCGACTGGTGGTCCTTCGGCGTGCTCATGGTAATGGTCCTCCCCAGTCCGCGGCGGCATCCCTTGTCGCTGAGCCCCAGCACTCGGTCCCATCCCCAGGTTGGCTCAGAGGTCCAGGAGTGAGCAGGGGAAACAGTGCTTGAAATGTGGATAGGCAGTGTGTCCCCAGGTGACCCACGGACAAGGAGGCCACCATTTCCTGCAACCTCCTCCTCTGCCCATCCCAAATTCCCACCCCCAGGAAACAGAACTGGGATTCAGATAAGGACACAAATGCATTTAGAGTCAAACCTTCTTTATACTTAACATTTTTACAGGCTGAGCATGAAGATTTTAAGGGATGTGGTGATTTTCATATTAAAGACATTTCTCTTATGTCAAACACAAAATCCTTCTACTTAGTTACAAAAATAACATGAGCCAAGGGCCTGCGTGGCTCAGATGGTTAAGCGTCTGCCTTCGGCTCAGGTCATGATCCCAGGGTCCTGGGATCGAGCCCCACATCCAGCTCCCTGCTCCTTGGGAGCCTGCTTCTCCCTCTGCCTCTCTCTCTCTGTCTCTCATGAATAAATAAATAAAATCTTTAAAAAAAAAATTAACATGAGCCAAAATACACATGGACTGAGATGTTTTTACATCTACATCAAGAAACTTGAATTTTCTTTAGCTCGTGCATGTTCACAGACAGAGCGCAGACCCAGACACCACCTGGCCTGGGGGATTCTGTAGTCAGAGAAGTGGTGTTGGCTCCCTGTCCCCAGATGGTCCTTCCTCTCCCTTCCTCCTACCCTGTCCCTCCGCCCATCCTCCCAGCCAGCACTGTGCCTGTGGCCTTCCATGCTTCCCGTGCCCTCAGCCCAGATCGGACTTCTGACGCTATGGAAGGTCACTCAGCTGGTGTGAGGCCCAGCCCTGTGCATCCCCAGCCCAGCTCCCGTACATCCCCAGCCCAGCTCCCATGC